TCCCTTTCTCTCTTTTCGCTTTTTTTCTTTTTCATTTCCAGATACATTAGCTTATTAGATCTTAGATATTACATTTCGTTACTTTTATAACTTTCTAATATCACTTATGTATCCAAATATCGATAAATATATGATGAATACAAAAACAAATCCTATTAATGATCGGTTTTAAACATTCGTTGGAAATATATTATATCAAAATGCTAAATATATATCGGGATACATTAATTGTGCAATCTTGTGAAATGTAAATAAAAAATTAATTGGAAATATTTTCAGTATCATACAATAGAAGTATACGATTTTTAAATATCCTTTATACAAGAGAATATAAAAAAATCATCAATGTCTTAAAAGATCAGAGATGATAAAGTTTCTCTGATTTGCTACAAGTAAGATAACATACTTTCAAGCAGCCCAAGGCCGCTCTAAAGGATACGCCATGATTCGCTAATAAACGTATTATAATAATTATAATAATAATAATAATTATTATTATTTGCCATATAGATGTAGATGCTATTTGCGTTGACCAGATATTATTAATAAATGCTATTGGCAATGACTGTGGAAGGATTAGTGCATCGATCTATTGTGTAATAGGATATTTGAAATACACAATATTATATAGGAAAAGGCACGTATTTTCGATATTGGGATAACGCATGATTCTCAAATTTATGCAAAGCTAATATCTGTACTTAGTATTGAAATAAAAAACAGATTACAAATTATTAACATTTTCACTGGTTATACCTTACACTTCATAAAAAGTTATATTTAATACTTTGCTTTTATCTCTTATTAAAAATATGAGAGAGATTATGATTTCTTATTGAAAAAAAAAATATATATATATATATTTATGTAATAAATAGCTTAAATATGATATTTATAAAAAGTAATCTTGGGTAAAAGCTATTATAAATGACATTTGATTTAATTGGACTTTTTACATTACATTGTACTAAGCACAGTATTGCTCTTCAACAAGAAATTAGCATTAATGGTTTTAATATTATACAGATTATCAGAGATATACGTGCTTGAATATTGTATATTTCTAATAATTAAATAATGATACAATGTAGATTAGGATACATTAATCAATATACAAATAAATGATGTACCACAATTAATTATGGCCTGCCTTGTTCAAATCAATATTCAATCATATATGTCGTGTTTTCAATAATTTATACAATACAAATGAATATTTATTAATAGAATAAATTAAAGCAAGGGTGGGTAAAATCAAATTGCCGTTTATTGCAATCAAATAGCACTCTAATCTTATTATATTATTAGTCGGTTTTGAGATCAATGTTGGAACAGTATTTATAACTGCCAGTTTGAGAATATAAAGAATCGTTATATTTTCAACATAAAAACATTTTTATATAATCTGTTGCTATTTGTTTACAGAATCTCGACAGTAAAAAATTTCTGATAAAAATAGATTATATTTTAATTAATCGCATTAAAAGACATGTATTTTAATCAAAGAAGAAAGATAAAGTGGAATGCCTGATATACTTTTCACATATCTCTATATTTGCATTTCATTTAATCAAAATATGTTTGTATTTATATATATTTGTACAAATTGAGCCGGCTAAATGATATAAATGCAATTATTAATTAAGTATTAACATAGAAAATATATATCGAAGAAAAATCAATTAAAACATGAATATAAAATTATTAAATATATTAAACTGAAAGTGTATCGTTTTTTTTTTCTTAATATTGCGAATAGATCGAATTGATTAGCTCCTTTGATTCTTTAGATTCTTTCATTCTTGCAAAGAAATACATTATTTATTATAACTTCATAATCTATAAATAAAAAGAGTATGAAGCAACATAAAATATTTTATGCAAAAAATATTGTAATTACGTCAATATTTATACATATATGTATATGATAACATACATACATCTATTCGTTTTAAAGGATATACTTCCTTGAATTTCATTTCAGTGAAAGAATCGATACAAGAAGCCAATGTGTAAAGTTATTAATGACGTAAAAAGAAAGCCAGATATGTATTCCACGCTATCTTTGAAAGAAGGAATCTATGCTGGATATAAAAAAAGAAGAAAACAATATATGTATGTTACAGTAAAAGCATAAAATCAATAATTGTATTTATCCTCCTCTTAATAAAAAAAAGTTTATACATATACTAACTTTACTAGTAAAAATCAAGCAGAAGAAGATAATTGAAACTTTTGCTAGTAAATCTATGCACATATTGTTATAATTTAACAAAAATATACAACAAACAATTAGAAGTATCATTCTTATATTAATACCTTATTATGTTGTAATAAATAAAAATCTTTTTATTAAATAATATATTTACTTTCTGATCGTTTTGAAAAATTTTTGTTTATTTTTATGTTAAATATGTTATACATTGTATAACCAAAAATGAAATCATGATATTTTTGTTCAAAGTATACGAACATAATACTTTATCATTATTTCAATTAAAAATATTAAATTACATGCAATTCGATTCATAAATTTTTTATTAACCGCATATGTGCAATTCGACAAGAATTTATATCAATTATTATACTTTTACTACAATGATTTAGTAAGTGTATAAGCTTGCTAATAAATGTATATGTTTATTAATAATATTAATAATTATTAATAATAAACATATTCATTTTCATATTTTATTTTTCCTAGAACCTTAAGTAATTATATACATCTGTTATACAGCAAATGTATGTAATTACTGTATTTTACGCTTTTATTGTGACATCTATATGTTACATCATACTAGTCAATCCTATAGTATCAACTTTAACGACACAATATTATATTATGCGAAGTATAAAAAAATATGTATATGCAATATAGAAGACATACTTTAGTCGTTTGTGATAACGAAAACTCTATCAAACAATAGATATTATGCGTTAGATTTCACATTATGATATTAAATATTATTGCTATCCAACATATTTTCCTAAACGGAAAGGAAGAAAAAAAAAAAAAGGAAAAAAGAAAAGTAAATTATAATGTTACAAAATATACAACATTATTCTAATCTTCATTGTAATTTATATGGAAAAAAAGAAGAGAAACTCAAAACGAAATAAAATAATATATTGGTGGAAGGTGCGATTGCCATGGCGCGATATATCTGCATGCGGCTCGCTCTCATTTCAGCTCGGGGGAAACAAGGCGAGACTTCCTCCTTCACTTAAAAAAATCTGTCAAAGTACGAACAATCATATGTACTCTATTATCTGTTAAATCCGTCTGTTCGTTCGTTAGTGTTAGTATAACCATAACATTTTCCTCACACTCGAAATTCTCTACTATTCGTGATCGATCGTTACAAATGATTATATACTTTCACGTTAGCAAGCATCTGTCGCTTTTACCTTCCAAAGGCAGTATAGAGAGAAGAAAGGATACTAAGGATAGTAGTAATACAAAAATGAGGAACATGTGTTTTTCACTGATAAAATATCGCAAAAAGTTAAAAAAATTATTTCAATCAAAATATTTAAGATTTATAAAAAAGTTTTTTTGCTATTTCTTTAATGCATTGTCCATTTGCAAATAAAACTCGTTTCATCACATTTGGAGGGTTGCTGATTGCTAACTTTAATACAGAAGAATAGATATGATCTATGCCTGTCACACATCCGCCGTTACATAAAAATATGTAAGTATTTCGAATACACTTGTATCATTAATATTTTAGTGGTTAAATACTTTACGTCGGAAGGCATCTATTAATCATCACGCTTCATAAAATGGTTTTATATTCGCCGCTCTTACTTTATAATAAAAGCAAAATAAGTAAGCTAAAACTTCTGTGATGTGAAAAATGGTAGAAAAATATGAAGAAAATATCAAGTTTTTTTTTTCTTTGACGAATGACGTAAAGTATATGCATAGAGTTACAGGCAGGCTGAATTAGGAAAGGCACAGATACCAGTGCTATACCTAAGTGCGTAAGGCGATTTCCTGGTTTATGATATCAGGAAGACATTTTTTTTCTTTTCAGTAATTACATAATTATACATACATATACATACATATATAAAATATATATATATATATATATATATATATATATATATATATGTGTATATATAGTAGTAGTTGAAATAG